TAATGTTGAAAAGAACTGAAAGTGAACATTGTCTTAATGTTTTGGACATTGCACTGTTTAATATTTTTTCCATAAGTGGCCTTTATCAAATTAAGGAATTTTCTTCTATTTCTGTTTGCTAATAGTTTTAATTATGAATGGATATTGAATTTTTTAAAAAGTTTTTAAAGTTGTCGATGGACCTTTATTTTATTTATATGCGGTGCTGAGAATCGAACCCAGGGCCTCACATATGCTAGGCAAGTACTCTACCACTGAGTTATAACCCCATCCTGGATGTAGAATTTTAATGTTTTTTCCCTGCATCTAATTTTTAGTGATTGTCTTCTTTAAAGTTATGATAGTTGACTTAATATATTAAACCCCTTTTATTCTTAGCATAAACCCAAACAGGTCATATATGTATGTGTACTTTAATACATTGCTGGACACAATTTGCCAATATTTTATTTTAGGACTTTTAATTTTAATTTGTGTTTCTTTTATCATTGTGCCAGAGAATATGACCTGTGAGATTTTTTTCTGACTAGCTTTCTGTTCTACATTGTGGTCAGTTTCTTACATATTCCACATGAACTGGAAAAAGAATGTATGTTCCCCAGTAGTTGCACATAATGTCCTTTAAATATCCATTAGACTTGTTAAGCTGTACAGATTTCTCTACACTGATTTATCTTGTACCGGATTTCTTTACTGAAGCTTTAAATTTTCCTCATGATGGTGAATTTCTCGAGTTTTCTTGAAGTTCATAGTGTTTGCTTGCTTTTTCTCTGGGCTTTATTGTTGGATGTATATTAACAGGATCGTTCTGCCTTCTTTGTGGTGAAACTATAATTATGTAGTGACTGCCACTGTTAATGTTTACTGCCTTTGCCTTTTTTGTTGCTCATTATATGGCAATATTTTAGTTAGTCTTTAGTATATCTTAGGTCTTTCTTTGGCCTTATATTTTGAGTTTGCCGGAGATATGCCTAAAAGATAAAGCCAAAGAATGTCTTTTTAACTAGATAATTGAGTCCATTCATGTCTATTATGATTACACAGTTGGATTTATTTCTAGGTCTTCATCATAAATTTTTTTGGTTTGGTCCTCTCCCTCCCTTCTTTTTTCATTTTATTTGCCCTCCACTTTTTATTTTCAATTACTATTAATTTTTTTGTTTACAAATTTCACTTTATGTGTGATCTTTTGTTTTTTTTCAACATCATTATTTGCTGTTAATACCAATATTGAGTCTTTGTGGATGATTCTGTTGTATTTTGTCGTTTACTCATGGTGCCACTTTCCCTTGAGTATGTGATATCTTAAAATTTATTTTCCTTGGCAAATGATTTGAAAGCTTGATGCAGTTCAGTGGTAGAACGTGTGCCTTGCATTCATGAGGTCCTGGGTTCAGTCCTCAGAAGTATAAAAGGGAAAAAAAAAAAAAAAGATTTGAAGCATGGACTGAAATTGAGATCCTTAAGAGATTTATTTTCTCTGCCAGATACCCAAAAGCTGTCTACCTGAGACCAAATGAAATGAACAGCTTGATAATTTCAGATAACAAACTTTAGAGGACCTGTGATTGTGAATTTTCTAGGGTGGTTTATTCCCTTTTCCCCAGCATCAAAATTTAGATAGGAACATTTCTTGCTGCCAACTTCTCTGTGCTGGCCCAATTAACCATCTAGCCTAGGCAGGCATGGTGGCACACACCTATAAACCCAGCAGATCACAAGGCTAATTCGGGAGTATCTAAAATTTGAGGCCCTAAGTAATTTGGTGAGGCTCTGTCTCAAAATTAAAAAAAAATAAATTAAAAAAAAAGTCTGGGAATGTGGTAAAGCATCCCTGGGTTCAGTCCCCCAAAACAAAAACCAAACCCCACCCCCAAAACCTACTACTAATACTAGGTAAGTCTATGGCCAGACCCCACTACAGCTACCAGTTCAGTGTCTGCAGAGTTCAAGAGAACTCTAGGGACAAAGCAAGCTGTGGTGGCTTACCTCACAGCAGTCCTATTTTCACTTCACTTTTAGAGTTCTGTATCTGTGTATTTCTTGTTTTCATATCAACTTAAAGGTATGTTTAAAAATATTTTATACAATTAAACTATGTTATTCAGCATTTGGGGTTTTTTAAATGAGTTGATACCTAGGCTGTTTTACCATTAGAAATGAAGTCTAGATATGCATAATTATAATACACCAATAAAAATAAAAAGGGAAAAATGAAATGTAGATTAAAACTTTAGTTTGCTCTTCATATGAGCAGGAAATGTGTTCCTTTATAGTATGTTCAGAATAACAGGATTGTAGTTCTCTCCTGAAAGAGTAGCACTTTTATGGTGGGAGACTAATACTTGGAAAAGTGGAATACACAGAGCCACCTCCACCCCCCCCCCCCTGGGGATTTAACCCAGGGGCACTTAACCACTGAATCACATCCCAATCTTTTTCATTTTGAGACTGGGTCTTGCTAAATTACTGAGGCTGGCTCTGAACTTGCAAGTCTCCCAAGTTGCTAGGATTATGGGTGTGTGCCACCACACCTGCTCAAGGAAACCAAGTTTTAAAGATGTATTCTTCTTCCAAAGTAAGGAATGGCTCTGTCATTTGGAGAAAAAAAATTTGAGATGGAGCCTTGCTCTGTTGCTCAGGCTGTCCCCATACTTCTGAGCTCAAATGATCCTCTTGCCTCAGCCTTCCAAGCAGTTGGGACTACAGGCTTGTGTCACCACACCTGGCTGGATCTGGTTTCTTACAACTCTAACAATGGAGGTCATATATGCAAGAATGAGTCTCCTTGGTGTACAGAACTGGGCTGGGAGGCATTTTCTGTTGTGCTTGTCTTTGCCTAGCGGGTTCAGTAATGTCTTTCATACAGATGTACTCTGAAATTAAGCCCTGTAGAACAGGTGTGAAACAGACATAAACATGATTCTGCTTGCTCTTAGAAGACAATCAAGAAGTCATAAGTTGTAATTGAAGAGGCAAAATTCACGGCATAGTGTCAGAATATATAATCTTGGGGCATTTTTGTGGAAGATGGAGGAATTACCTATTAGATGTAATATGCCCTCCTAATCTAGTACATGGCCATCAAGTTGCTGTAGATTGTTAGCACACTGACTTTACTCGTCGTACCCTGATTTGGCACACTTGTTGACGTTAATTTTGGCAAAGGAGTTCTTAACAATGATTGTCTTGCACAGGTATCTATTTACTAAGAAGTGCAAAAGGAAGCAGTTTCTGGAGTAAGGTCAGGGAAAGCTGTAACTACTATTAGGCAAGTTTTTATTGTTAAAGGCAATGGCCAGAAGCCAAAGAAATTAATTCATTCCTGTATCACCTGTAGCCCTTGACTGTGAAGGGATTCTGCTTCATGGTCTCACAAATCCTAAACTCTGGTACAATACCTATCTAAAGGGGCTAAAACAACTTGTGCACAACTGTTACACACCTACTAGGTTTTGAGTGGTGCTATTTTCTGTATTTGGTGACCAGTACAAATGTTTGCAAAGCTTTCCTGGTGAGTTTAAACCAAGACCTAAAGGATGAAAGGGACTTGGCCAGGCAGAGGGAAGGGGATACATGTTCAAGGCCATGGCAGGAGGATGGTGGGAGGCGAAAATTCAGCACAGGATCCCAGAGGAGATCAGAGTTGGCGGGGCACAGCAAGCAAGTAGTGAAGCTTGATGAAGTGAACAAAGATAACATTTCCAGATCTAAAAAAAACACCAATGACATTTTTCTGATGGTACGGTACAATTCCTAGAAAAACAAAGTTAGGGTTGTTCCATTTTTTTTTTACTGATTATTATATGAGTTAATAATCTTACTCATTTATATGAGTTAATAATCTTACAGATTATTAACTCATATAAATTAAAACACAAGCATATAAAATAACAAGTATTATTTTGCTGCCAAGGTAACTTTGCCTAATACACACATCTATATATGTGTATTTTTTAAAAATCTTGCACTGTCAAATGGTAGAAACTTTTTTTTTCATTTTTCACACCTAATTGTGCTACCATGGAAATCCTCTTAGTTGGGCCCTCATAACTTTGTTCAATTCAACTGTAATTGTTATTAAAGGTAATTGATATTTCTTTAGTTCACCAAGGCAACCTGGAAACTGGCAATACGGCATGTTTTAAAGGAAAAGGACACTGCACAGACATAACACCATAGGAGAAAAGAACACAGATAGTTCATCACCGTTATTCCAAAGTATATTAGGAAGGCAGCATTTAAAAAAATAATCCTTTCTGGATCAAAGTATCTCCATTATAATGTGGGTAGTGAGGGTCAGACAGAATCTACCTAAGTTCCCTTTTCTACCTATGACTTACTTGCTAAAACCCATTGCTTAGATACTCAAAAAATCAATATTTACAAAATTACAAAAACTTTAGGGTAGCAGAGATTATGTACTTAAGTTCCAAGGGTGGTACATGACATTCTGTTAAATGCAACACAGACCAAGTAAGAAGCCAACACTGACCCTCATAGGCAGAGATAGTGTCATGAACCTGACACATGCAGATGCCAGTTTTCTCTCCTGCATGAACAGGAAAGTCATGTAACCCAAAATTGATCTGATTTTACCTAAAGTTTTTAGTACTACTAGAGAATTATTGTTTGTTTTGGTACAAACTGATTTAAGATTATCAGATTCCTTTTTTTTTTTTTTTAAACCAAACACCCAATCTTTTTTTTGAGGTCCTAGGGATTAAACCCAGGGCCTTGCTCATGCTAGGCAAGAGCTCACAACTTAGTTACATCCCCAGCCAAAATACACCCAATCTTAAAAATTTTAGAGTAGAAATGTGATAACTAAAAAATGCTTTTGTCAATTATATAGTGGCTCAATATTTGGGCCAAATGGAAGATATTTCAAAAATATATCTATATGTAAGTATCAGATGCCTTAGCATCTGCTACTTCTACTCCTAAGCAATTCTACTTCTAAGAATGTATTTCAAGAAAAGTCATGAATGTACACAAGGTTCATTGAAGTGTTTATAACTGTAAAAAGTTGTCAGTAGTCAAAATGTCCAATGGACGATTAAATAAATTATAATTCAGTCATACAACAGAGTAACAAACCAATAAAAATGATGCAGAAGACTATGCATAACCTGGGAAACATGTTTACAATATATTGTTAAGTGAAAAAAGCAGGTTACAAAACAGTATGCACAATATGAGCCCATTTTTATAAAAATATACATATTTAGCAAAGTAAGAGGACAAATGATATTTATCAAAATATTAACATTGGTTATTTCAACACAGTAGGATGATTGTGGATTCTGCTTAACCACCCTCTCCCTTTTTTCCTTTTTGAATTTTCTATAATAAAGATTATTTTTCGAATGGGGGTAGGAGGCGAGGGAGTCACCGACTTCTGAGATGCTGCTCCCAAAGGTTCTTCCCAGCAAAGTGAACGTGTCTGCTCAGCCTGTATCTAGGAAACTGCTCTACCTCAGACACCTGGATGTCCCTTACATACAGTGTCCACCCAAGCTTCCTTCTTGCAAGCTATCCAATAGCCACTTTTGAAATTACAATTTAAAAACCCCTCCTATTAATTAATATCACCAAAAAGAATAATGAGAAAATACAAATCCTCACTTTAAAAAAGCAACAACTCAAGTACATACTGCTAAATTATACAAAGTTACATTATCTAAGTTTAGTTTATTGCAAAGATCAAGATAGCACACTGCTTCTACTTCATACCTTCACAGCACTCACTCCATTTTGTTCACTCACTCGTGCAAAAGGTCTGTATACACAATGATGTCCAATGTTTCTTGGTTCCCATGATAAAACAGGAAACCTGATATTTCAATTAAAAAGGTAAAATGAAGACATTTATCATCAGACTGTAAAATACTCTTCTGGAAGAGGACACTGTTAATACTTGAAGATATACTTTGAAAAAAAATCAAATACCAAACAAAAGGGGCACCATTTCAGGAGTGCCAGGACCACATTAAACTGAAATGAATTCCAACATTCATAATAACATAAATCAAAAACAAACCTAGTGTTAAACAAAAGCTCCAGTAACTAAAACTACATTAACAGGCACAATGAACAGTGTAAACACTGTTACTGGGCACCAAGTTTAATAGGGCAGACAATATTTGCTTCTGCATTCACACTTAATTATTCAATTACATTAAAAAAAAAAAAAATTGGTGCTGCTTAAGCTATGAATGCTTTTTACCAAAAAAAAAAAAAAAAATTAATTTCAATAAATACAGCAAGTGCTAAAAATCTAGCTAGGTTATCATGCAAGATATTACATAGCTAACACAAACTCAAATTTATAATAAAGGCAACTTGCATTCAAAATGAACTCTACCCTTATATTTTATTAAAAGGGCAAACATCATGAATTAACCCAGCTGCTTACTTGAATTACAAAAGTAACATGATTCAATATGAAAATAAGAAACTGTCTACAAATCTCTGACAGTAATAAATTGCAATATACAATGCATACAGGCGTCATACAGAGCAACAAACTCTTGTACAAAACAAAAATATTTTAATACCTTTAAAATCCAAATTTGTCTTTAAAATCATTCATGAAAAAGAGTCTCATCAAGTCAGAATTAACACCTCAATTAGTCAAGCATCAGGAAGCTACATTACAGCTACTTAATATACAAAGAGACAGCGCTTCACCAGTCATTTCCTCTCATGTCTCTGTTCCAGAATCGTACACGCTCACTTCTCTCCACTCCCCATTCCGTCATTTCTTCACATCATGAAAACTGAATTTGTTGAACACCAGAAATCTAAGATTAGAAAATTTAAACTGAGTGAAATTTTTAAAAGTTTAAAAGTAACATACATTACAAGAATTCACTGAATGAAAACAATGGACAATGTAAAATAAATCCACTTGTCCCAGATCTCCAATTTCCACTCCCTCTCCCCAAAGAAACTTCTTTAATAGTTTTTTTGTGTATCTTCTTTGAAATCTTCTATGTGAATATAAACACATATACATTTTTTTTAACCATTAAGGGACTACTATATGTTATTTTATATATTTTAGGAAAACAATTTTAATAACCTTTATCTTCTCATATCCTTAATAATAGTAACAATGTGTTGAATTACCTGTGATTAAAAAAAAATCAACTTGAATCTTATAAAGTTTAGGGCCAGGGTGTAGCTCAGTAGTAGATTTCTTGTGTAGCTTGCCCAACGTCCTGGGTTTGGTCCCCACCACCACAAAAATAATAAAATAGTTTAAAATGCAAAGAAGTCACTGTACCTGTTGATAGGATGTTGTGTAAACCATAACATTTTGTTGTTGACCATCTGCAGTTATTAAGCCAGCTGGTAACTGGTTTGCTAAAACACACACACCACATACACACACACACACACACACACACACACACAAAGAAAATAAAAAAACTTGTTAATGAGGGAAATTATTTGTACCTCTTTTCTTGGTCTGACCTAAAGGTGGTATCATTAATGTCTCATTGTCATTCTGTCACTTTTCTATGATGTAATCTTAGGTAAAATCATAGAACCTCAAATTTTATGTTTAAAAAAAACTCCCTAAAAAGCACATTTTTTCCTATTGCATTTTTCTGTTTTCTTCACCTTCATATCTTTAAAGTGTACACTAGCTAATACGTAGAAATCACAGAAAGGCTGGGTTTCTGAATTAGGTTAGACCTGAGTCTTGCTGGGAGCAACAGACAACTAAGTAATATATATTTTACAGGTGAGAAATTTATAAAATACAAACATATAGATATTAGATATTTTATGTGACAAATATACTCACCATACACCTTTTATTTCACAGTGAAATAAAATGAAATATGGCAATATTATTCTTGATTTAAAAAAAAGTAATCCTTGGGCTGGGGTTGTAGATCAGGGGAAGAGCACTTGCCTAGCATGTGTGAGGCAGTAGGTTGGATTCTCAGAACCACAAACAAATAAATAAAATAAAGGTCCATCAACAACTAAAAGATACTTTAAAAATATTTTTTTTAAAAAGTAATCCTTGAGCTCAAATTCATTTATTTATTTTTAATATTTATTTTTTAGTTGTAGTTGGACACAATATCTTTATTTTATTTTTATGTAGTGCTGAGGATCGAATCCAGGACCTCGCACACGCTAGGCGAGTGCTCTATTGCTGAGCCACATTCCCAGCCTTCAAATTTATTTAAATCACCAGATTTTATATTTTGAAGTATAACTGTGAATATTCCTCTCAAGTGAATCTTTATCAAAAATTAGGGGCTATGGAAATCAGTTCTTTTTTTTTAAGTTTGCAAAAAAAGATTTATTTAATGAATCTGTGTTTCTTGGAAGGAATTCAATCAGAAATTTAATCAACACAGATCATTTAAAATTCAACCTCAGATCATTTAATATTCAACCTACCATTAGGCCCAAGGAGTAGCCTTGTGAGGCCTGAACTTCCTCCAGCTGTATGTGGAGTCACTTTAGCTTAAATCAAATGTTAGAGCTGCTTTACCAGTTGCATACATATTAAAGACTACAAGACAGGGGCCAGGGTTGTGGCTCAGTGGTAAAGCGCTTGCCTAGCATGCATGAGGCACTGGGTTCGATCTCTGGCACCACATAAAAATAAACAAACAAAGGCATTGTGCCCATCTACAATAAAAAAAATATATTTTTTTAAAAAGACTAGAAGACAGAAGGCTTCTGAACATGTAGTGACTCTGTCACCAGGGGAAATCAAATAGACTCCCTGGATAAGTCTCAAGTCAATACTGGGTTCTCAGAACTGTTCACTCACTCAGTGATGATGGGAATTTGTCTGTTCAATATAGCTACAGATCTGAGATTTCATGGTCTCTTATGATATCTGGGCACAAGCCTGGGTCAGAGCTCTATGACTTGTGTTATCTGAGATATTGCATTTCAAAGGGCAAGATGCAATCCTGAGAAATGGTAAGTGAGCTTTAGAGAATTTATATATTTGGAGGAGTCAGGTCCCTTTGAGGCTCTGAGGAGACTATGAGCTCTGCTGTCTGTGCCTAAGGCCAGGCATTCATACCTAGGGACAGGTTCTTAATAAATTGGTAATAGAGTAGTTATCAGTAAATCAGAACTTTCAATGAAAGGTTATAATGTCTTCCAGGTTAAAATTTTCTACACTCACCATTCACTGGCTTTAAATAAAAGGACATGAATTAATAAGAACCATTCAGGATAGTGCTATGTCAAAATACTCAGTGCTGATATCCCCAAAATACCAACCCAGACATTTAGCATGAATCACTAACAACTACATGACTTGTAACATAACACTGCTTACTAAATGCCTCCTCTGTAAGTTCTTCACTTAGTCCATCTGTAGCTGTGACTGCCCCACCAATTCCCTTCTCTCCTTTCATAGCCTAGGGAAAGGGAAAAAAAAAAAGTAGTTACTGGTATGCAAATAAAACTTGCCCAAATGAGAATGCTTACTTATTGCCTAAAATTAGGAGCTTCTAAATTTAAAAATGTTAAAGAGTATTTATTAACACTTCCAGTTTAATAGCATTATAAGTCAGCATTATTAGTAAATATCCAGAAAACCTAAAGTATATATGGTAAAAATAAATTATTCTTTTTTTTTTTTTTTAAATCTTTATTTTATTTTTATGTGGTGCTGAGGATCGAACCCAGTGCCCCGCGCATGCCAGGTGAGCGCACTACCGCTTGAGCCACATCCCCAGCCCAAAAATAAATTATTCTGATTCCATTCCATTCCATGAAGGGATCATAGAACTTTACTTACAGATAAAGTCTGCAAAATATCTATAAATAGGGCTGGGTTGTGGCTCAGTGGTAGAGTGCTTGCCTAGCATGTGAGAGGCATTGGGTTCGATCCCCAGCTCCACATAAACAAATTAAACAAAATATCTATAAATAATCAGCCTATAAATCTATAAACAATCTAGGTTATCTCTCACACACAGAGTTCTCAGCCAACTGACAAGTATAGAGAAGCAGCAAATTAAAGATTCCTAAATAAAAGTTACTGTTTGGACCAAATATCTCTGAAGTTCCATTTACTCTAAGGTTCTAATACTGAAGATTTGGAAAAATATCGTGAAGAATTTATATATTCTCTTCCTACTTTAATCATTCCATGTAGATATTACTAATTTAATGGGATTCTAACATGAAAGATATTAGTGTATTTTGAAATCAAAGTTGGAAATAAATTAGCTAAAATGTCAACTCATTTATATAAACTTCATACTCAGAGGGAAAGATAGCCTGATAGGAAGTGTGGAAGAGGGCAATCAATAACAAAAAGGAGATAGTTGTAACTTTCTCTTTTTATTATCTAATAAACCCCAAGCTTAGCAATGTTACCTCTTTTAAATGAACAGTAACAGCAAGAAGTAACATGGAGTCCTGACCATTATTCACTTAGTTCCCTCTCAATAATTCTATGATGAAGGCACTATTCTTAAGCCTCACTTTATAGGTGAGGAAACCAAGGTCTAAAGTACTTAAATAATCTGCCCAAGGTCACGGAGTTCACACGTAGGGCAGGTTGTCTGAATCTAGAATCCTTTTATACAAGTTATGCTTTAGTTCTCATAAACAAAGGAAAAAGTACTATAATTTATGTGATTAAATACTTCTAAGAAATGTTACATAATGTGCTAAAAATATTTTTTTGAAACAAATAATATATTTAAAATGTTAAGGTGAACAGTGTATCTCATTTTCTTAAAAGCATAATGCTCAGGAGACATTTCATTTACCTCTCTGAATTTCTGAAGATATAATTTCAGAGGTTCTACATAACTGTCGAAGCCTAAGGTAGACATGGCAAAGAGAATATCCTCTCCATTGATTGTCTTCCGCTTCTCTTGATGGCATCTTTCACTTGCCTCTGATGTTATAAAGCTTATGAACTCACTCACACATTCCTGCACACATTCTTTGGCATCTTTTGCAATCTGAAGGGAAAAAAAAAAAAAACACAGGTAAATTTGCAGGAAATATAACCATTACCTTCCTAACACCTGCAAAGATAAAAGACTATTCAGAAGAATGCATATTTTAGTTTATGACAGTTGAATCTGTGCTAATAACACAAATGTATATTCTCACAATTCCAACCCTCAGAATCAGAAAAAAACCTCAAATACCAGCTAGAGGAGGAACTCTTGACAACTATTCAATGACAACAACAATAACAAAAATACAGATATAAGGGGCTAGGGATGTGGCTCTGTGGTAGAGCCGGCCCTTGCCTAACACGTGTGAGGCCCCGGGTTTGATCTGGTACTGCAATAACCAAAAAAAACAGATATAATTTGGATACCAAAGAACAACCACTGCATATCCCTATGACACCATACAAGGTGAAAACTAGGAAAAGCAATCCCATTATATCTACACTAAGTATACTGTGGGCTACAGACTTAGGTACCACTTCTCTGCCTTAGCATTTCCATGAATAAGGACACAGAAAAAATAAAAACAAACACTAAATTCACTTAAGGCTAAGAAAGGAGTGAAATACAACATATGGTGACTTTTTCACTACTGACGATACAAAATGTCAGGTATGTGTTTTGAGTTTATTAAAAAGCTTACCTAAAGAAACATATGCCTGCCATATCATCATAAAAACAGTTTTCCCCTTAAGGGTTTGGGGCCTGAAGTAAAAATCTAATTAATCATGCAATGATTAATATGCAGTTCCAAAGCATTTATAACCACAATGACCAACTCCTTGCTGAAAAGCACTGTCTTTTTCCTTCATTCCTATTTTGCATACTGGAGAAACTGAACAAGAATCGTATAAATATAGCCAAGTAAAATAATATAACACTAGCCAAGTACATAATTTTGTATTTTCTAGTAAGCCATGTTAAATAAAATAGGACCAAGTGAAATTAACTTTAGTATTTTATGTACCCAATTTATCAAAATTATCATTTAAACATGCAATCAATTTTAAAATGGGACATTTTCATCCTAAGTCTTTAAAACCTGGTGTGTTTTAATCTCAGTTCAAATGAACCACATTTCAATTGCTCCACAGCCACTATGGCTAGTGGCTTTGGTACAGGACAGTACATGCCTACCCTTTCTATAAGCAACAGTCAGTAATGGTACATCTCCCCCCAAAACGTAAGGAAGACCTTTCTCAAACAGGAACTTCTAGGCTTAGTGATGTGTGTTAATATTACATTTCTTTGTAAACTATATTACCTTCGTAAGTACTTCTATAAGCTATAATAAATAATACAAAGGGTTACTCTGCAATATAAAATATATAAAATGTGAATTTTAATTCAGACCAAGTAATGAGTAGTGATGTCTTTAAAAGTTGTTCTAAGACAAAACTGCTTTAAAAAACAATCATATGAGTTGAAATGTTAACATTCACAATTGTGTAAGAGTTGTTTCCAAATACCAGAATTTTAAAAAAACTTAGCACATTATATCAGTCTGATCTAACCTAATTTTGCTGAAACATTATACAAGTTACAACTTCATAGGACCAAACCTGATACTTCTGATAATGCAATTATTTTTAAAAAAGATTCTTAATTCTGGTTTATCTGCTTCCAATGAGTAGGTGCAGGGGAGCATTTGGGGACATGACAGAACTGAAAATTGAATATTGTTCAGTAACTAAGTATGTTGAAACAAGTATTTGATTTGCTGAAAAGCTGCGTAAATAGCTAACTATTGATTTACCTATGTATTCATGTAGTCTTACATTTCCCCCCCAAAAAACCCAGTTAAATTTCAATGTTACCTTTCCTGTTTGAGGTATAGCATTTTTCATTATCCTAGCCACGTTTGCAATTGGAAGATATATATCTTGTTCTCTGAAACTTTCTTTTGAACCATTTGTATCTTCATGATCATTCATGCTGTCCTCAGTATCTAAAGAAATTTTAAAAAATTTTTAGGTTTAAAGCTTCTCATAATTTTACTTCAAGATAGAAAGGACTATCTGAAATGACCTAGAGTAAAAACCATTATAGTTCATAATTTTTTTTAGGGATTAGTATAGCAGTTCTTTTCAGAATTTTCACAGGGTCAGAAATGACCCTATTCTTAATTTCAAACCCACTGCCTAGAATTTTTAAAAAAATATTTTTTAGATGTTTATGGACCTTTATTTTATTCATTTATTTATATGCAGTGCTCAGAACTGAACCCAGTGCCTCACACATGCCAGGCAAGTGCTCTACCACTGAGCTACAACCCCAGCCCCTCACTGCCTAGAATTCTTTTATCCTCAATAATATCTACTAAAATCCTATCTACCAATTTTTCAAAAGGCTAGGATAACATCTCCACAGCACCTTCAAAAGTAACCTTTCTTTTCATAAAATACCACAAGTACTTCTGTATGCCTTCTCTATCACACATCTTCTAATTCTTTTTATGTCTCATCCTCTCTGCTAAGATCATTAGTACTTGATTCCAGGGATCTACTTTGTTGTCCTAGGACTTGGTATAGGTACCTTCTCAGAGCAGGTGCTAGGATTTATTGCCTAATTTAGCTGTAAAACTTATAAGTGACAATCTATGGCTCCTGGAATAATGCAAGATTAAGCGGGTATGTATTTATTCAAAGCCAAGTTTACACAAACTTATATATATAAAATTTACTCTGTATAAAACTCATAAAAGTTGATATAAACTTGTTTATAAGTTTATGTAAAACCCTACAGAGTGGAAAAACTAGACTTGAATATCACTGACCCAATTCACTTAATGTAGTAAGTAGTTCTTTATAACTTTAGATATAACTGAGGCTTTCATAGTACCAATAGCATCCTTTATGACTAAATACATAAATGTAAATTACATAAATAAAATAAATATAAAACCTCTCACTTTTGGACATACTAAATAAGCAAGGTACTGAAACTGATTCAATTTACATTTTAATGTGTTTAAAACAATATTATCAAAACTAATTTATCTGAATATCCGTTTTAGGATGAAATACTAATCCCCTCCAAACTCCTTCTAAAAATATATCTTAATTTTTCATTTTACAAATCAAAATGCCACAAAAGTAAATTATTTCTAATAGGCCAACATAATACTGCCATTCTAATATTTGACATTGTTCAAAGTTAATACTGAATGAAAAAATTAAGTTTGATTGTAAGTGCTAGAAACATAATAGCTAGCAGTTTAACTCCCTTTAAAGAACTATTTTATTTACTATAACAACTGAATAAGAATTTCTCATACTTAATACTTACATAGGAAGTCAGTAATAAGTTTTAAAAGAAACAAGTTTTTAAAGAAAAGCAATACTTTTATAGATCTTATCTAGGACTTATCACACTTTTGAAGATTATTTCTAATAAATACCTTTTTAGATCTTCAGTGAACTATGACATGAGATTGCTAATTTTCCTGGAACGACAAAAGTAACCTAACACATCATATATTATAATAAAAAGTCCACTTTCTAAGCCGTTCCCACGTGTGCATCTGGCTCTAGCTTTGGATTTCTTACCATCGTGAGGCTGTATCACATAATGACTTCCTCCAATGTAGTCTGCAGAAATTCCTAGTTGGGTAGCATCTGTTGTAGAACTGTCACCATCCATCTAGGTGGAAAAAAGAAAGCCTTTTAGCACTCTTCAGTAAGAGTTGTACTAAAAAAACCCAATAGATTCAGTGCTCATAAACTCTCATTCAGAGAATGGGTCAACTACATAACCTTAAGCTTACTAAAAGAAAGCATTTATATTTCTTGTTTTGAAATATTTTTTAGTTGTAGATGGATACAATACCTTTATTTTATTTATTCGTTTTTATGTGGTGCTGAGGATTGAATCCAGTGCCTCACATGTGCTAGGCAAGTGCTCTACCACTGAGCTATAACCTCAGCCCCACATTTGTATTTCTTGATTGGAAACTTTCCAATAATTCGTCAGCAATTTAAGATTGCCATATCCATGTTCTATAAATTATAAGCATAAAACCAACAGGGAAAAACAACATGGAAATGAATCTAAAGCATATGCCCCTTTTTTTCAATAGCATAATGCTCAAATATACTATAGGCGAACCTTGACTTACAATCTAACTTATCACTGGAATGCCAATCAAAGCCCAAAATCAGCTTTATAGTCTATTGGAAGTCACCTATACCTACTGCTTTGAGTTCTCCTGCTAAAGTCTATGCATTCTTTGTTTTTTTTTTTTTTTAATAACTTTATTTATTTTTATGTGGTGCTGAGGATCGAACCTGGAGCCTTGCCCGTGTGAGGCAAGCACTCTACCTCTGAGCCATAACCCCAGCCCCCTGTGCATTCTTTTGCTCCTCCTACAAACTCCCTTTGCTGTTTTACAGAATTTCCAAGTAGATAATGTCTCAGGTTATGCTGCTGCTTGGGTAAGAAGCATGCGGATTCCCCGAGTAGTGCTGTACCCACACTACCCCCAAATATACCTACATTTTCAATGAGCCCATCACCTCTGATTCTCCTGCCTAAGCCTCCTGAGTCACTTGGATTACACAACTTTTCGATAAAGAGAGAGAGAGAGAGACAGGGAGGGGGAGGGAGGAAAGGAAAGGAAAGGTCAGGGATACCAAACATCTGCATGTAAAGATAGGAAATCACAACCACAGACAAGAACGAGAGTTGAAAGGATGATTTTAAAAGTCTGTTTAATTAATTTTGCTTAGAGCTCAAAGAATACTGGTAACATAGGAAAATTTGGAAAAAAGTGCCTATAAGCTCCATTCCATTTTACCACCAGCAGATTCTGGAAGGCTTTCTGCTTTGCAAATACTACTACTCAGAACAATTAAGGCACTGGCTATTTGTGAATGGAAAAATTAAAAATACATTATCTAAAAAGTATTGTAAAAATTAAACATAATTTATACATGCTTTCAGGCCAAAGAGAGAGATACTTGATGTTAAATGTTTATTAAGGCCTGAGACTCAGTGCAAACTTAATGTTATTAACTGTAATATTTTTGCCCCTTGTATAAAACTTGTCTTCTCCATCTCTCTTGGATTTTTATTTAATGCTAAAGTACTAGGCTAGGTTCCAAAGGCTCAATAACATGGCATTTTTCTCACGCATCTGTTAATTTTGATGTGTAACTGAACTGTAGCTATAGATATATTTCTAAAATTTACATATTTTTTTAACGGAGTAGAAAATAGAATTTATAGACCTTTAGTAATCTGTGAAAATACAGAATACCTGTTTATTCACTGATTTTTGGTGGCTCTTAGGATTGCCACAAGGTCTGAACTTTCTGACCCTTCTGTTGTCCTCCACAAATAGAATCCTTGCAAGTTCTAGGTATTTCTATGTAAAACAGAAACATCAATACTGCTCTCTCAATCTTAAAATGATATAAATGTATGTGAAGTATTAACCCAATACAAGACACTATTTTGATCCCTAAAATGTTAACAAGAGACAGGAAGAGCAGGTTTCTGAAGATGGTCCTTTAGAATGGCTGTGAGTTCACTACTTTTTACAATGACCTAAGGAAGGTCAAGGTGCAGGTGATAGGCCCCAAGTGGTTGTTTCAGAACCTTCAACTGCAAACAAATCTTTTTTGGGAGATACAAGGAACCAATAACAAGTTCTTTGATAAATGAATGTACACAGGATACTAGACTCTTGGCTGATAAGCAAGATAATGTTCAAATAACCAGGTGGTTCTGACAGATGAATTAATTTATAAATATAACACAAAACCATTAAAGGCAAAAAGTTTTAATCATATTATCTTGTCATGCATTAGAACTAGCAGCAAGATCATCATCTGGATTAACAGCATTAGCCTTTCAGACCTCAGTCTTCTAAAAATGAAGATCAAGTATTTCCTAGAGTTGTCAGAATAAAGACTAGAATACTGCTAAGGACAGTGACCCAGTTGTATTGTACTCCACAGACACTGGACCTAGCCTCCCTCCTTTGAAGGAGTTGCACATTTCTGCTTAATTATATGTTTTTGGTTCTGCAAGTTTTAGCATTTCTGTCAAGTTGCGCCTTCCGTTCTTCTTTACCATTTTGTCTCTTTACCGTTAAAATCCCAGCCCTGACTTTAATCCCAATGATCCCCATCCTGCTGGAATCCTTCTTTCTAATTTATCTGATTCTGCAATCCAAGGGCTTATGTTCACTTCTTTGAAGACCTATGGCACTGAGCCCCTTCATTCAGCCAATCAAAATCTGATAAACATGCTAGCCACTCCACTATATGGAAGGAATGGTGGAAAAGACTTGTTAGGGTTTTTTCTAGGTCTAAAACCTCCTATAAAAATTTATAAAACAGAATGTAGGTCATAAGTCAGTCAACACATATTTTCCTGAGTGAGCACTGAGTGTTTGCTGTGTATGATAATGAAGCAGTCAACAACACAGACAAGGTCTCTGTCCTCATCCTGCAGAGAAAACAAAAGTTACATAACCTGGGGGCAGGAGGAGGGGTAGAGAGCATAGTCTATTGGTACTTCCAGGACACAGGCTCTGGAACTCAAATCACCTACTTTGAATGCCTTGCTACTCAACTGGCCATGAGACCTTGAGCACATTGAATGAGAACAGGACTTAACCTCACAGGGCTCCTATACAAGTTAGGAGATAATTAGTACAGTATTATGGAATACTCGCTTTACTCCATTAAAGGTCCCCATGAGTCTGAGGGATCAGGAAGTTTGGAAGAGGAAATGGGATTTAAACTGACTGAAAGATGAATACGAATCACTCAGGCAAAAAAGAAGTGGGAAAACATTATTCCAGACAGAGCAAACAGACAAATACAGTATTAGGGGATTGGAACTAGTTAAATGGGATGAGATCAAGCAGATCCTTATAGACAAGAGCAAATAGGGGGAAAAAAAAAAAAATTAGGAAGAGTGCAAATTAGATTTTTAAAAAAATTTTCTTTATTTTTTGGTACCAGGGATTGAACACAGGGGTGGCTCAACTACTGAGCCCTTTATTTTTTTACTTTGAGACACAGTCTCATTAAGTTGCTTAGGGCCTAAGTTGCTGAGGTTGGCTTTGAATTTGCCGTCCTCTTGCCTCAGCCTCCTAAGCCACTGGGATTATAGGTATGAGCCCAAAGCGCCCAGCTAGGTTTTTTTCTTTCTAAATATTTTTTTAGTTGTCAAAGGACCTTTATTTTATTTATTTATATGCGGTGCTGAGAATCAAACCTAGTGCCTCACATAATGCTAGGTAGGCACTCTACCACTGAGCTACAACCCAGCCCTGGATTTCTTTTTTAAAAGATCATTTTAGGGGCTGGGGCTATAGCTCAGTGGTAGAGTGCTTGCCTTGCATGCGTGAAGCCCTGGGTTCTATCCCCAGCACCACATAAAAATGAATAAATGAAAAAAAATGAAGATACTAAAAAAAAAGATCATTTTAGCCAATATAGAAAACTCATCCAATACAAAAATGACCTGGAGGGGAGCAAGAACAGGGGCAGGAGACTGATAGGGACTGTACTGCTGCTGCTAAGACATGAATTCAGGTAAGAGGGTGATTATCTCAGCATCTGCTCCAAGGCCAGAGCCCTGGAGATCACAGGAAGCAGTGTCACTAGCAAGAACCAGCAGAACTTGGTGACTGGCTAAGAACTCAAGGAAGGACCAAGGATACTGCTGGGATTCTCCTGGCTACAGAGAAAGGGAAAGGAGAGGGATGGGAAGACTGGGCCACGCAGGGCCTAGCTGATGCTGGTGGCTCTCAATGGTACTGACGTGTCCCACTGTGACACTCATAGGCTTGGTATAACAAGAGAAGCTCGTGTTGGATTTCATCCAGGGAACAAAGGGAGAAGAGCCGGTAGGACAGTGACAAGAGCAGTGGTAAAATGAGGAATCACTAAATCGGAGGGTACTGGTAAATATGGACAAAGAGCAGTTAAGTCTCATTATGTTAATTTTAATGACATGAATTATTTAGTGGAACTGGTATTATTCTCCAAAATATTATGGGCAGGCAAGGAAAATCTGCTTTTCAACTATTACCACTCTATGAGGAACAGTTCGACGCTTCCCTCTTCCAGACTAAATCAGCTAATACATTTTTATTCTATTTTTTTGTGTAAGCAGTATTTATACTATGCTAAACATTTGTTGCATAAATACAGTAAATAGTGTCCTCTTTCTGTGTTTACATTTATTTAACACTTTCTATATATCTCACACAATGTTCATGATCCCATACAGTAGGTAAGTGTATGAGGCTAATAATTTGTCCAAGGTGACACAGGAAGTGGGATTGAAATAGAGCCTCAAATGGCAAGCACTTCACAGACTGCATTCCTGGTAGCTTTCCCTGTAGTCCTTAAGCCTAATCTTTAACATTCCACTTCTAAATTCTAGGTGTACCGATTCTATATTGAAAGCATTTAAAATGCCTTCTCAAGCAAGGGCAATATTTGTGAAACAGTCAAGAAAGCCCTGAGGCCTGGGTGTGCAGCGTGGCTCCCTTTTACTAACATTCCTTTTTGTGTTCCAGTTTCCCCATTTTAGAAATGGGGTTGCTCTTCAAAAAGGACTTAGCCGCATGCATTAAACACATAGCAAGAACCACAAATGTAACCTGGTATGATTTTTATCTCTTCAAATACAATTCTTTCTAGGCACAAGGAGTTCTCTGTCTCTCTCACACATATGACTTATCTTTCTAACTGTTCTGTGGATCACATTCTGTTTTAGGATAAGAAATAATACAAGAATTCCTCATCTCTAATGTGTCTTCAGTTCTCCCTGCTAGCTTCTTTGCATTTCCTTAAACTTGTCATCTCCCTCATCACGTAAAGAAAACCTTAATTATATGCCACCATTTGTGAAGCTACCATGGTCACCCTGCCATGCAGTCCTTACATACCTCTCCACTCCCTGCCATCTGCTTTTTGACCTACGTCACGCGACACCACTCTCCAAGCTGCCAGCGCCCTTGCCTTCATCCTACTTGACATCTCTGCGGCGCCTGCCACTGCCTACTTCTAAAGGAATAACCGCACCTAGTTTATTCTTTCTTCCCTTCCTCTAATTGTTAGTTTCCATCCAAGGTTATTGTTTTCCCTCTTCCCCTAACTATCTTAATGAACTCATTAAGTATCACCTCTATGCTCATAAATCTCAAACCTATAACCACTATTTTGCCTGTCACATAAACAGCCCACAGTGTAGAATGTGTTGATATTCCATCATCGCAAACTAAGATAATGGGAAATGAAACTCACCTCCCCCACCCACTACAGGGGGCGGGCAAGGAAGATCTGCTTTTCAACTATTGCCACTCTATGAGGAACAGTACGACCCTTCCCTCTTCCAGACTAAATATACCAGAGTCTTCTCAAAGTGGGTCCACCTCCTTCAAGACTAACTCATTGTTACATCTTTTACTGTATCGCCCGGATATGCCCTTCCTTTTCTATTTCCACTGGATTACTGCCGACACATCTTAACTGTTGTATTATGACTAATACACTTACTATAACATTGGTTCCATAGTTCTTGAACCTGTTCTTTAAGGTTCCTAAAGGTTTTCTGCATCAAGTCCAAACCTCCTTTTCTCAGCTTTATAAGAGCAGATCCCCCACTTAACCTAACTAAACTTCTTTCCCACTCTATCTTAAGGACTAATAAAAATTTTAGTACTAGAATGTTCCAGAGTGAGGCAATCATGACTCAAAGACTTTGTGATATGCCCGAGGTCACAGATACTGTAGCAGAACCAGAACTAAATATCCAGATGGCCAAGTGGTATCTTCAGTACATGATTCTGTGAAATTCCCACTCAAACTGTGTACCCCTGTCCCCCATCCCTTAAGCAAGGGCTCATTCCTACCTCCAGGCTTTTGCTTTTGGTCATAACCCTCCACCTATCCAAATTCAACCCATCCTGCAGGCCCCCAGGCTCCTTCCATGACATTCCCAACTATCTGCCCATCATACCTCTCTTCCATCTGCGCTGCATTGAGAGTTAGCGTGTTCCATTCAGCACAACACTGACAGAGGTCAGTATTCAGTTTGACTAAAGTGCTATCAGCTCAACAGATAGCTCCTAAACAAAGCTGGGACAGGCTGCTACCAGTAGCCTTAGTAGCACTTAGGAATCCACGGGAACCACTCAACATTTAAGTAACCAAAAATAAGGACACAATGGCAATGAGCAGAGGGGCTATTTGTCTAGACTTGAAAGGCACTCACTGTGTATCAGGAATCTCCAATGGATAATTTTGTTTCAGCTAATTACTCTTCATACCAAATTAATAACCAAAATGGTAAGACCTACTTACTGTCATGAAATACTGTCAGAACCGTGTTGTCAGTGGTGCTCAAGAACACCTATCTAAAAAGGTATCCAATCTCCGTCCAATTTCAACCTAAAAAGAAAAAAAAAAATCTATTAAATGTATAGTATACAGGTTTTCTTTTCTAGTAAAATTAAAGAGGATGCATACAGTTTTGTCTACTACTTAGTCAATGGAGATTGAAAAGCAGACACCCAATGAATGCTTATTGAATTAGAAGATTTATTTTGGAGAACTTACAAAAAAGTTAATTCCATGCTCTTCTAATGTAACCCTGAATTTAGTCACGCTCATCATAAATATTCATCACAGTTCACCAAATAATGCCCAAATTATATATTGTGTAAGAGACTGAAAATTATACATCTAAATTACTTGAAATATTAACAGGCAGGACACAAATACTCCACTTATCAACATAATTTTTTGATGACAGTTTTCTTAAAGTTTCAGAGTGAGATTTGGGTGTTTAAAAGCTCAAAAAGGGGACATTTATCTCAGAATATGCTTTTAAATTTAGTACCTTAGATTATACTGGGAAAAACATACATGCTGTCCAGAGAACATATACCCCCTGCCCCCCCACCCCCCAAAAAAAACCATACACACAAAATCAAGCCCCTTTTTATCATTTTGAAGCACCAACATTTTGGACTAAATTTTCATCTGAATGGCACTTCAGTCTCACCTCAAGGAATAAATAGCTGAATAAATTAGTATCAATTACAATGTTACAACCTTCATTTCTCATTTGCTCTTTTCCTTTTTTCAATGAAACAATTAAAGGGGGGGCTTGATAGAACAAAAACACATCTTTCTAGTGTTAATTTTAGAGGGAAAAGAAATACTGATTTGCATTCAAGCATGAAATCTAGTAAAGAGCAGAAAAAAATTGTAGCCACAGAGCTTAATTTTTAAAATGCCACTAACGGGTCCAGGCAGTGTCAGCAAAGACTGCCTGACATTTGCTATAATCTTAAAAGTAATTTCCAATGTCTTTTCATAGAGTGCCCTCTTTTCTAGATCCAAAGCTGCCCAGTAAAATTTCTTCCTTGTAGTTACCCCCCCCCCAAAAAAAAGGTTAGGATGACTTTAAAAAATAATGCTCACAACACCTAAAATATTATACATACACACACACACACACACACACATATTTATATATATTTGGCTTAGAATGGGGAGGGCAGGTGAGAGCCCCACTAGTCACTCAAATACTTGATTGAGTATATATTTAGGTTCAGTACATTGAAGAAAAACACTACTGCTTCATATGGAATATATTTTCTTAAAGGCAGGTTATGATGTATGTGAAAACTCAAGGGAATACATACATCTGTTTAATGTTTGAAGAAATGCAAATTTGTATCCAAGAAAAGCAGTAGTCCCTTCCTCCAACCTCCATTCTTTGGCATCAACAACCACAGAGTTTTGCATCGATATAATCTTTAAATTAACCTACCAGAGCAGTGCAGAGAAGGAATAATTGCCTTTTAAGGAATTCTGGTTAAACTTTCAATACTTTACCAATAAAACCTCTACTTACTAATGCCACTGCTATTATTGATCAGTTTATCTCATCACTCTACGTTTCCATTCTAAGCGAGCTGAAGCCACCCCAGCGATTTGTGCCACGAATCGTGGAACTAGGGAGTCCATGCGGATTAGTGGGATGCCATTTTTTTAAAGGTCGCCGGCTACCTAACCTTGTCTTGTTATAGTACTTTGGGCGCGATTACGATTTGGGGGTGCTCGTAATTCTTTGTTCTCGGAGACTACTGTTCCTTATGGCTCTGCACATCCTCCCGCCTCCCACCACCGATGATTAAAACCTCAGTCCAATCCGAAAGGCTTCCTTCCCACCTTCGGGGCAAGTCCAGGGACCGCAAGCCGCCAGATGGCTGCATTCTTTACGTGCAAACCAGACTGCGGGGAAACCAGAGCCACTCCTTCCGCCCGGGGACCTCGTTGCTCCCCACGCAGGTGCCCGGGGTAGCCCCCGCCTGCCGCCGGCGGCGGCCGACCTGTCAGACCCGCGTGTGCGGGGTGGGCGCCCCCGGGGCGCATCCCCTGCCGCCCCGCGGCTGCGGCCCCGCGCCCAACGCCCGCCCGCCGCGCGGGCACACAAAGCGGCGGGCCCCGCCGTGCCCCCGGGCGGGCGGCGGCCGCGGGACCCGAGAGACGACCGCGGCCAGGCAGGGTCGCCGGAGCCCGCGCCGTGCCCCAGCCCGCGGCCGCCTCCCGGCACAAAATGGAGCCGGCCCGGGGCGCCGCCGCGAGGGGCCGGCCGTGCCCCGCAGCCTCCCCCGGCCCGGCTCGCGGCAGCGAGCAGGAGGTCGCCTGGCCCGCGTCCCGCCGCTCCAGCGCCCGGCGCACAAAGAGCCGCGCCGCGGCCCGCGCCGCTCCCGGCCCGGCCGGCCAGCAGCGGGAGCGCCTCGCCGGCCCGGCCCGGCCGCGGCCCCGACTCGGCCCGGCGGGCTGCAGGGAGGCGAGTGCCCCCGGCCGCGGCGGCGTTGGCGGCGGGGACGGCGCCTGGAGGAGACGGACATTTCATTCGAGCTAAAGTGGAGTCGGTTTAGGAGCGATCATTGGCCGAAGCGAGACACAAACCTCCAATGCAGCCCTGGTTGGCTCCCGTCTCCAATCGGCTGTTTGGTTGGACAGAAAATGGCTGCGAAGGAACCAGTCCCAGCGCGGAGCTCCGCTTCCAGGACTCGGCCTCCCCTCCCTCCGCCGCGAGCCGCTTCCCTCCACTCGACACCCTCCCTCCGCGCGGCTCGCGCGCCGCGGCCACGCCCAAACCCCGCCCATGCCCCGCCCCCGGGCCCGCCCCGCGCGCCTGCCGCTGCAGCTGCTGCTGCAGCCACAGCTACCGGTGCGGGAAGCTGCGGCGCCGCGGGCCCTGCGGCGGCTGCGTAGGCTTCCTGGGTCTCCACCCTCGCTCGCGGTCTAGGTGTGCATCGGCCTTCTCTCCGTGTTTGCACCGGCCGGTGCGGAGCGTGACTTCTCAGGCCTTCCTCTCTTTGTAATCCCCTCCCTCCCTAGGAGGAAGAGACTACCCGCCTGAGTTCAGCCTGCCAGCGCTTGGATTTGTAAGAAGGGGAGCCAAGGTCCTGCCTTGGGCTCTGCTAGGGCGACTTGGAGCTCGAAGTGGGTTTGAACGGCCGCCACCTCCCGGGATGCTTTCGACCCTTCGTGCTTTTCCTTGTGTCCCTGTTAGCGTTGCCAGGTACACAGCACTGCCTCAGCCGTTCGCCGAGCACTGCTGTTAGTTTTTCATATTTCATCCAAAGACACGATCTCCTTCCTCCTCAGGTTTAACGGGTTGCTTGGCTTAGCCAGCCTCCACCCTGTTCTCTTGAATTCAAGATACTGCATTTCCTATCCACTTCTTCCCCCCCGTAGATTGCATAGTAGTTGCAACCTGACTTGGCTTTTCTCAACCAGATGACGTTGTGGCTGCAAGAATCCACAGCCGTTGTTGCATCTTTGCAGCCAGATTCCTTTCTTAGCCTCACTGCAGTCTGAATCAAACTTGAACTTCCCTGTGCCTGTGACCCTCCCAGATAAGCAAGCGCTTTAACACTGGACTATTATACCCTTAACTCTGTAAAGAAGTTTTAATAACGTGGGGAGATGTTTAGAATAAACAAACTACGGGAAGATACATGAGCTCAATTTTGTAAATCTATATGAACAGAGAAACCAATATGTCAAAAATCAGTGGTTTTCTATTTTATGATAGGTGCTCAAAGTATGCTCACTGATTACAGTTAGGAAATCACCCATAGGGTCCTTTTTTTACTGAACATCTACTATGTGTCAGTCAGGACTTGGGGAGATGGTGTGGAACAAAACCATGTCCCTGCTCTTAATGGAACTTTCTTGCTTTCTTTAAATTTTCTTTTCTTTTCTTTTTTTTTTTTTTTGGTACTGAGGATTGAATCTGGGGACGCTTCACCACTGAGATACATCCCCAGTGTTTTTTAATTTTAATTTTAAAAAAATTTATTTATTTTTTTGTACCAGGGGTTGAAACCAGGGCTGCTTAACCACTGAGCCACATCCTAGCCCTCTTTATTTTGAGACAGGTTCTCACTAAAGTTGCTGAGGCTGGTTTGAACTTGCAATCCTCCTGTCTCCGCTTCATTAGTCAATAGGATCACAGGCATGCCACTATGCCTGGCCAGAACTTATTTCTTGACGAGGTCTCATGGTGGTTTCTTCTGTGGTGGTTATCTTACTCTGATTTCACAGAATACCCAAGACTGGGTAATTTATAATGAACAGAAATTTATTGCCTCATGGTTCTGGTAGCTGGGACATCCAAAATCAAGGGACATCTGGTTCAGGCCTTCATCCCTTAGTGGAAGGGCAGAGGGAGGGTGAGAGAGTGCCAGCACACCCAGGAGAGGCCAGTCTTCATTTTTATAACAGTTCCACTCTCCGGATAACCACAGTAAGCCCTTTATAAAGTCAGAGCCCCACAACCTAGTCACATCTTAAAGTCCCACCTTTTTGACATTATTGCATTTGGGTCTAAATTTCAGCACCTGAACTTTGGGAGACCCCTTCATCCCCTATCAGTGGTAACAGTGGAGATGGAAAGATAGAAAGTGGCGGATAGACTGGCAAATACATTTTAGGGATAGAGCATTTTGGTACCAAAAGGGAATATTGAAAAAGATCAGGTTTTATTCTTAGGAAATTGGCCTGGATAACTTTGGTGGAACTGGGCTCTGGACTAGAATGTTTGGTTTATAACCAAGGTGTCACCAACTACCAACAGAGTGACCTGGGGGCTAATCTCCCGGCCTTCATTTCTTTACCTGTGAATCAATGACCTTCTGGACCCATTGCAAGTAACAACCTAACTCGGGGCAGTTGGAAAGCATGAGTTATTGCAAAGAGCTGAGAAGAGTGCCTGCCCCACTGCGCAGCAGCCTAAATTGTTAGCCATTATTATTGTTATTGTTGTTATTGTTACAATTACTGAGATGAGGATGACCGGAAACAGAAACCCAACTAAGAAGAGCTATGAGGACCTGGGAAGTGCAACAGTTGTTAATATTTTTTTTTTAGTTCAGTGAAATGATGCCCTCTACTAATGGCTCTCAAGTTGAACCAGTTATGGAAGTAATTTATACACCATGTGATAATTAACTCTGCGGATTAGGGGTGCCCAAGGGAAGGAACAGAAGGGCAGTAAATTTTAATAAGGACTCTAGGGAATGGCCCTGTGAGGGAGGGGTGCTGAGGGGAAGGGACTGCAGAGGGAGGTGAAGGGGAGGAAATTGAGACCACGGACATGCCTCCCAGCTCTGGGATCAAGATAGTTCCTGAGAATGTCAAGGGGTCCTACACAGAAGAGATTCTGATGCTGTGTCTCCATTTGTAGTTCAAAATGAAAAGGTCAAAGGTCGCTACATCGTAAAAAATGTGTGGATGGAATTCCTGCAGAGTTCCACCTTTCCTCCTGATGGGCACTTTGATACGTTTTTTGATATCAAAGTCCTTTTTTGGAAATTTCTCCTCATTTTCGGAGACCCCTGCTTTGCTGGTCTCTAAGCAGGTTCTTGGTTTGCCTAACAGATGGTCATAGTCCAGCCTGGACCATTTCCTTGCCCTTGCCATTTGCTTGGCTGACTCTGACAAGTCCTTTGGAATTTAATCTCAGAGAGGATCTTCTCCAGGAAGCTTTCCTTGATCCCTGCAATAGGCCTTTGTTTTGGGTATTACCAGGGATTGAACTCAGGGGGACTTGACCAATGAGCCATATCCCCAGCTGTACTTTGTATTTTATTTAGAGACAGGGTCTCACTGAGCCTCACTTTTGCTGAGGCTTGCTTTGAACTCATGATCCTCCTGCCTCAGCCTCCCGAGCCGCTGTCATAACAGGCGTGTGCCAAGTTGCCCAGCTTGTGACAGGCCTTTAATCACATCCCTGTCTTTCACTAATGCACACCTCCCTTTGAAATGGAAATGTTGTTGATGCAGACCATATCTAGCTTTTTAAATCGCTGCATCTCCCTGTGCCTAGAACAGTGCCTGGCTCAAAGAACAACCGAATGAAAATTTACTGCTCCCCCCTCCCTCCTCACTCCCTCATTTCAACAGGCACCTGGCAAAGCCAGCTCTGTGTCAGTCACTTCCCTGTTTCTAGGAACCTTGCCACTTCTGCTGCTTCAAGGTCAGAGACCGTCCCACCTGCATGCCTGACTCACCCCTGATGGAGCGCCATAAGAACCCAACCAAGGGTAGAAAACTACGCACACACTCCAAGTATATGACTGACTTTGCGAGTGCAGCATGAGGAGGGCCTGAGTTCTCTGCAGGGTGATGTCAAGGATCCTCTGCAAACTGCTGCTCCCAACGAGCACAAGCCTGTCTTAAGTGCCCTTCTGCAGTGGCTGGAGGAGCCTTTTCCTGGCTGAAAAGGCTCCTACCACTTTTGTTTTCATATAATCTAGGTCACCGGTTCATCTGCAGAATGGCTAAGAAACTCTTGAGATGATCTTGCTTGAAGGCTACCAGTTCCTCCCCAGCCAGGGTGATCTTGGGATTAGCACAGGAATTGTTATCTCCCCTATGCAATTTTGGGGAGTGTTATAGTTTGAAGGTGATGTGCCCCCCAAAAGCTCATGTGTGAGACAATGCAAGAAGGTTTAAAGGAGAAATGATTGGGATACGAGAGCTGTAACCCAATCAGTGAACTAATTCCCTAATGGGATTAACTGGTAACTAGGCAGGAAGGGTGTGGCTGGAGGAGGTGGGTCATGGGGGGGTGTGCCTTTGGGGTGTATATTTTGTGTCTGGCAAGTGGAGTCTCTCTCTGCTTCCTGATCATCATGTGAGCTGCTTCCCTTAGCCACACTCCTGCCATGATGTTCAGCCTCACTTGAGCCCCAAGGAATAAAGGCTGCTGTCTAGGAACTGAGACCTCTGAAGCCATGAGCCCTCAAATAAACTTTTCCTTTTCCTCCTCTACAGTTGTTCTGGTTGGGTCTTTTAGATACCACAGCAAAAAAAAAAAAAAAAAAATTGAG